TGTGTGTGTATTTATATATGTATGTATGTATGTATGTATGTATGTATGTATGTATGTATGTATGTATGTATGTATGTATGTATATGTGTATGCGTGTATGTGTGTGTATATGTATATGTATATGTACATATATATATATGTATTATATATATATATTTTTGTTGTTGCTTCTCTACATGTGCCAGCCTGTCTGGGACGACCAAGTGGTGGAGCAGGAATGCAGACAATGGCTTTCGCCAGGTTGCTGTTTCAGATGACAAGATCACACGATGTATGATCTTGGTCGCTTGATGCCTCCTCTACCATTGTTGCGTAGACAAGAGAACGGTGGGGCTAAGTCGGGCGCGGTCCTCAAGCACCCTGTCCGAATGAACTGTTGCCTACCATATCTGACTGCATTGGCATGGGCACTCGCCCATTCCGACGGCACATCAGATCCGAAGATGAGATGAGATGAGATGACATGAAGCCGAAGTCTTTTCGAGCTTCGAAAAGGTGGCCCTTCGGGCTTTTACCTGGGCGCGAAAGAGAATGCTCGAATTCAACTTTTCAGAAGTGTTGGCGAAAGATTTGAAGCTCTGGAGATCCAGCCCCGGCAAGGTGGAACACAACCATCTGTCATGACATCTAGTTTGCTGGAAACTGTTTGACATAGACAATTGCACAGCCCCTTTCCGAAAGCCCGTCCAGCTGTGTGGGCGCCGCATAGGCCACAGGAGCCAGGCTGTCTGCCATGGCCTACAGGGATGGTGCCCCACGCAAGCGAAGAGAGTCTTAACAAAATCAGGAATGTAAGGCACTTTGGGCTTTGGGTTTTGGGAGGGGGGGTGTAGGATTAAGGAATTCATGGCTTAAAAACGGATTCCAGGATGCTTGCAAAACACTGGACATGAAGGACCGTCGGTCCACAGCAAAGCTCTGACACTGCCTTTCAACTCATTCCTGTGTGGATGGAACCGAAGGAGCGTGAGAAAACAAAGCACATGCAATAATGTTCCGCGAGAGGGGAGGACGTGTCGGAACAGCCTGTGAGTGCCGGCAAGGGGCCAGCTACTGGCCCTCGAGCGCGAGTCTCGACAACCGGGCTGAGGCTTGGCAGCTCAAGTTTATCGATTGGGGCTTGGCCCCTAAACAGCTGCACAGAATGTCAGACACCTCGTGGAAACTGGGCATGCATTTTGGGTTTCTACATGGCATGGTGTCGACACTGTCTACATTCCTACCTAGCCGCGTTGCGCACTCGTTCTGGGGCGCTGGCTTGTCAAGAGTGCCTGTGTCGTCCACGTCCACCTGGGATTCGAGGTGTCGCCCGGTACATCTTAATGTTGCTGGGATCGTTAGAAATCAATCAGATGTGGCCCGTCTAAGGATTCGCATCGCGATACCTTTTCGAAAGACGGGTGAGGGACATACAGACAAATAGTCTGCAATTTCGGGTATCGAGCATCTCGGGCTGTTCTGTCAGCCCTTCCAACTCCGCTGCTGCACGCGAGCTCAGTGTCCGAACCTCTCAGCAGGCCCGGCCTTGTTGAGTACACTGTGCATGACGTGAAAGCCCGCCGTAAAGCCCAGCTCTCGCAAAGCACGCGTCGCCTGCAAGGACTACGCAACAGTCTTCAGTCGTCGCCTCCATGTTCTTGCCGCCTCCAGAGCCGGGAGTTGGCCGGCGCCGTCCTTCCACCACGATAACAAGAAGCTAGATCACAAAATTCGGCACCTCTTAGGAAGCTGATCCCTGCTGACTCGGGGCCTCGCGCGAGGCTTTGTCACTTTGGCAGGGCCTTCCCGGCGGGTCCTTGTCTTGCTTGTGGAACGAGGCGTCAACTTGCTCCAGGTCAATGTTGCAGAAGCCCTCACCATGAGCGAATCTTTGCAGCACAGAGTCGCCAAGGAAGGGTCGAAACGTCCCAAGTTCCAGCTGCAGCAAGCCGCTTGTCGGCGCTACTCGCACTTACGGATCGAGACATATCGAGACCATTCGAGACCGTTATCCGCAAACTGCGACGGCTGACACGAGGCCTGGCACTTGGCAAAAAATTCTAAATAATCAGAGAAATGCACCGAGCAAGACGTCGATGAACTATGTGACAAATGGAAGAACCTGCAATAACCTGCACGCCACCACCGCACACTTGTGTGACAAAGAACCCCCTCCCCCCTTCCCAACCCACCACCATTGTGGCCCCCCACTTAGTCTTTGCTATGGCTCGCAGCTGCAGTGATTCGCTGCATCTTGCATGCAGACCATCCGTTGAACTTTGAGTAATAGTCATACAAGGTATTCAGGCTGTTTTGGCAAGATCTAGGTTTCTGTTTCAAAGTTTAGGATTCCGACAGTAGGGCCTCAGTAGGGCCTGGCAAACCCCGTCACAATTTGCGATCACTCCCTACACCTTCTTGCGATACTCAAAAAAACCCTCCAAGCAGTTTGGCTCTGGTCCGATTGGAGTCCTAATCCCGGACACTGGATGACACTGGTCAAGTCTCAAGGCTCCAGTGGTTCCGCCAAATGACACTCGGCGGAACAAACTTGCTCTGCATTAATTATGACAGCACGCATGCTTATCTATGTGCAACACCTGCAACATCAACGGTCCGACGGATGTGGCTTTCCTCTTAGCCTGTAGGGCCTTTCCTGCTTGCGGACTGTAGACCTCCAGTCGTGGATTGAAACACGGCATTGAGGTGGACATCGAAATAACGAGGAAATATGCCATCCCGTCTCCGTCGTCGCAGTCATAATATCGCGATGTGGCAAGACGATGTGAAAAGGAAAGGGAGGCTCTGACTGCCATGTGTGCCATTAGTTAGTACCGGCGAAGATGTGATGAGAATGCCAGCACTGCTATTGCTGCTACTACCGATTACTGCTGATAATACTGCTACTGCTACTGCTAAAATATGGATAAGAATGATGATGCTGATGATGATGATGATGCTTAAAACGGCCAGCATAACCATCGTCATCATCATCACCACCATCATCATCATCATCCTGGTCCTAGTCGTCGCAGGAGTATTGGTCCTTCCCAACTCGAGAAGCCCAGCCTCTCGCTGGCGATACGTGAGCAGCAGCCGCCACATTGCGCTTAAGTCCATCCTTGGTTCAGGATTTGGCTTTGGGGCCCGGGGAAGAAGTTTGTCAGAGTGGGGCATTCTGACTGAGCTGGCCATGCACGGAGCCGCGCATGGGTTAGAAATGAGTAAACTGAAGTTATCAAAAGTCCTGTGGCAAGTCCTGCTTTGCATTCATGTCATGTCAGGCATGGGATTGCGTGTTGGGCCAGGGTCTCTGAAGTTGAGGATAGGTCTTCCACTCAGAGGACTGGTTTGGTCTGCAAGATGTGAACAGAGGCTGCGACTCGACGGCTGCGACGCCACATTCTTCGGCAGCCTGACACCGCACGCATTTCACATGCTGCTTGAGAACTGCTCGATATCCTTCCGGCCTCGTGGATGGCCGAGATGTCCCACATCTCCTCCGACACAGGGAATGTAGGTGTCTGTCGTTGAGACCTTCTGAGCCGACCCAAGCCGAGGAGAGCACGTAGCCAAGATCCTTCAAGACAGGCACCACCTGAATGTCAGCCAAAATAAAAGGGGCACGGGAGCTTTCGAGGAGACATTGAGCAGGCCCACTCGTGCTCCTAGGAAGAACCGACCTCCATCATGTTGATGGTCCCTGAATGGTCTGCGTCGTTCTCCTTGATCAGCTTCTGGAGGAGCTGACGAGGCGGGCGACAAGGCCCAGGTGCCAAGCATTAACTGCTGAGGTTTGTGGCCGGAAGCGACAGAACAATCCACTGCAGGCATTCTGAAACGAAGGACAAAGCCAAACCGTTTGACCCCTCATGGAAAGCCAGGCCTCGAGCTCGGATTCCCGCACGCGTCGCATGCACTGCAGGTACTGACGCTGATTGAGCTTGCCTTTGGCTTTGTCATGGTCCACCTTGCGAGCAGGAGGCATTCTACTCCTACCCAACGACGGGAGGAGATAACAGCGCCGTACGGAGCTGCCTCCACACTGCTGATGATGCTGCATGTCATGCCATTGCTTCATAGTGACACAGTGATCCTATGCTTGTGGTGCCAAAGTAGTCGCTGGGCTTGCTAGCGGGTGTCATTGAACTCTTATTACCGGCCACACACTAATAACAAACACAAAACATAGCACTGAATGACAGACATCCGCTCATTCTCCAACCTGGTCCAGGATCTTCTGTGTCCTCTCCGCATGTAGGTTTTCAGAGCGAAGATTGGCAACGGTAAGTCTTTGTAATCCTAATCATAATCATTACAAGGAGCGCCGCAAGAACAACCACGATACCACGCAAACAAAAGACTCCTTACTCTAACCCCTAACCTCAAACCCTAAACCCCAAACCTTAAACCCTAATCACCAGCCTAGACCCTAATAGCCAAGCCCGAAACCCCTCACTCGGTAGTAACCCCCCCCCTCCCCTCCCCCTTTTTTCTGCGTCCTTTCAGGAGGCCAGCAGAAGCCCAGCCAGTTCAGAATGGTCTGGAACTCCTGGGGGTTTTAGGGTTCTTGGGGTTTAGGGTTCAGGGGCCATAAAAACCAGCTCGCCTTGAATTGGCCTTTAAGCACCCCAAACCCTCACCTTCAAAGGTCATTGCGGTTCGTTGTACCTTACACATGACTACGATTCTTACCATGCCGATGGTCATAACTCTTGGCACTCCTATTGTTGCTACTCTTTTGAATGTGCTGTTGCTCTTTTCTTGGCCATCATGAGAATCATACGAAACAAGAAGCCAAAGAGCAAGGCAAGGATGATGAGTGTGCTAATGACACGATGATGCTACATGTACCGACAATGAAGAGGAAGAAGATGAACATGACTAAACTCCTCTGATGCACAACAGTAAGGCACGAGAACAGTCATAGTAGCGTAGCGCTAAGGATGTTTGTGCAATTTCCTTTCGCTACATGGCCCAAAAATGCTGCTCTCTCACTCTACAAGATTGAATCTGTCAACAGCACCAGATGTTGCAAATTCTGGCACCTTACGCTGGCACACTCTACGTGTACCTTTTTTGACTCGCCGCATTAACACTACATGCTGCTTCAATGTAAAACTGTGTTCCTGTATCGTCTGCACATGTATCCCTACATCTCAACCCTGAAACCCGAAACTCGTATAACCATCAAACCGGACACCCCCCAAGTCTGCAAGAGTGTCTCGTTCCAAGTGTCACACCTTGCTGTCCAGCAGATTGGTCCCGTCGTGACCGTGGCGGTCAAAGATGCCGACAAATTCCTGGAGGGTTTTTCAGCTGAGGGTGCTGTAGTGTTGAGGGTTTATGGTTTCAAAGTATCGAAACCCCCTGGTGCTGGGCCTGGTGGACAACTATGTCACTATGTTGGCGTGTTCCAGGCTCATGCCCTCAGTTCTTTCAGAACTTCGTCTGTTCTGGTGCAAAACGCCTTGAATGTGAGACAAAGCTTGGGAAAACCTTTTCCTTATGACTTTTCTTCTGGCCCTGCTTGTCAAGAACAGCTCCACCAAACCCCACTTTGGAGACCGCGCGCCGTTTAACATTCTTCGTTGTTATAAGGGGGACAGGCAAGCTTGCAGCACGGCTGACTCGCAGCATGAGTCATCAATCGGCATGTGGCGTGGCTACAACGGCGCCTGGTTTTTGTCAGCACCTCCCAATACTTCCTGTAGCAGGTACCCCCAGCCGCGATGTCTACGTTCGACTGGGTGCGGTTCCATGACTCAGGATTGAAAGTACGATACCTGGCTTCCTTCGAACATGCCGCTGATGTAATGGATGTCAACCCACAGTTCAGCTGTGCGTGTTCTCGCGCTGAGTGGCACGAAGCACGTTTTGGTTTGTGCGTTGCAGAACATTTGATGCAGGTGAACGGGCTTATGGGCGTAGCACCAAGCCTTCGCTGTAGTAAGTAGCATTAGGTGTGATTCGTAAACTCGCCCGGCAGTATTGCTGCAGCTCAGGTTGGTCGCTATTGCCATCGACAGCGTGCTCCCCCTTCTTCTACTTTGCGTGCACATCTGTGGTGCTACGAGTGGACCTACACCTACAAAATCGTCTTCAAATCCAGAGATTCGCACATCACATGACCGTTCATTTGTTGCAAACGTCCTCTACATAATTGAAATTGCAGTGCGGAGACAGGCTTTGAATTCAGCCAGTGAGCATCTGTTGATAAAAAGGCTTAAAGAGTTTAAGGAAAGTGTCCGCACAGCACCTTCTAACACATGCTTCAATTTGTCAACTCTGATGATGATCGCATCAATTCTGAAAGCTTGTGCAGAAAAGCCTTCTTCAGAGCCTTGGTTTTGCAAGTTATCTAACCATCCCTAAGAAACCCCCAAACCTATCGTCCAAGGTACTCTACTCGGCCACAAGCATATTACGAAACCAGAAATCCCCTCCTTGGAATGCAACAGGCAACCCTCCCAGCGCATGTGGGCACCTCGTACTCGCTGGCTGTGAACCCCTCTCGACGCTTCAGTAGTTCCATCAACTGCAGCACAAGGATGCATCAAGTCTACTAAGGAGGCCTCTACAAGTCCAAGTGACCATCGAAACCTCGAAACACAACAGAGGGCATGACATGCTCGCAGTCATCTTGCAGGGAAGGGAGCCCCCTGCCGGCCCGGGTCCGGATCCGGAATTGGTGAGTCGTTCGCTGCCTGAACTTGATGATGATGGGTGATGATGATGATGATGATGAGGAGGAGGAGGAGGAAGATCAGGATGATAAGACGATGAGGATGATGAGGATGAGAATAATTAATCATAATCATCATCATCAACACCAACACCACCGCCGCCGCCGCCACAATCATCACTATCACCCCCATCACCATCAAGATCATCATGAGCATGATCGTCAACATGACCTTCATCATGATCACCAGTTCTGCGCATGTCTTTACGGCAAAACCCATCGTTTTCCAAGATCTAAACCTCCATTTTCTGGGCGTTCGAGATAGGAATCGTGTTGTTGCCACACATTCTTCCACCCATCGCCTTGTGACCAAAAGCTCACTGCACTTCCTCACCGCCACGGCACTGCACTACCACCACTACCGCGGCACTGCACAACCGCCAGAACCGCGACCAGGACCACGACCACGACGACCATGACGACCATGACCATGACCACGATCACGACCACAATCACCACCACGATCAGGACTGCTGCTACTGCTGCTGCTGCTGCTGCTGCTGCTGCTGCTACTACTACTACTACTACTACTACTACTACTGCTACTGCTACTACTGCTACTTACAGTCACTAGATACTGGTTACTAGTTGTACGACTGCGGCCACGGCTACGGCTTCCACCGCTACCGCTACGCCAGAGTCCGTGGCAGAGTCCCTAGACTCCTAGGAGCCTCGACGTAAGACTTCTTAGATTAGGTTCCATTTACAAGCGGTTCGTTGAGGTGAGTTGCAGGACCTTATCGGCGTAAGTAACCCTGATCACTACAGATTGAGGTCCGCAGCTGGTCTGGAGGAGGCACTTAGAGGTCCGACGTTCCTAGAACCGCAGAGTTTCGCCCTTCGCCCTGGACCCTTGTTTCAGCACTAGGTATGGTCTGGGCGAGCGTGACTCTACCGATTGGACAAGTTTGGGAATCTGGCAAGGTTTATGGCACCCTGAGCACCAAAGCTGATGACGTCTAGTTATAGCTCAAAGACCCTAAACCCTAAAACCCAAAACCCAAAACCAGGCCCATGGAAGCGGACCTCCTTAAACTCGTCAGGGTCCAAGGTTCCTCCACGATCCTGGAGAGAGCCGGCTATCCGATGCGGGTCAGCTGAGTATGGGTCCAAGGTTTGATTTGGGCTTTAGGATTTAGGGTTTAGGACTCCGTATGGCAGTGAAACCACGGAAGACATACCACGGCTGATGTCCAAACAACACTCGATGACAACTCGACCTTTGACCGCAAGCTCGGATTTTCTGCGTTTGCCCGCCGCTGCATTTCAAGCAGATCGTTGACGACGTTGCACAGCCATGGGCACTCGACACAGCCTTTCGTGGTCCTTGTCCACCTCATCAATGACCTGCTCACCGCGGGAGCCACGGCTGTTGAAATCTCGGGTCACGGCCAGACGGCCTGAACTTACTGATTCTGCTCTGTGCTTCCTGTTTTGTGCGGTCCCCCTGTCCCTGCATTAGGAGTTATGTCTGGACTCTGCGGACAGAAATTGCGAGCCTCTTGCAGGACGTGGGTCCTCGGGGGGGCACAGCTCACCTACTCGGATGCCCTTCAGTGGATTCTGCTTCTGCCTCTGCGGCCCGTACAGTAGCAGACATTTAGATCACAGGCAGTCGAAACCAGAAGTTGCTGTGCACCCAAAATTGCGCAGCGCACGACCTCCGGGCCCGCGGCATCGGCTCAATGTCAAAGTCTCGTAGAAGGACAGCAACTTCCGAGGCCTGTGAGGTCAAGGCTGATTTTCGTGGTTCGCTCCGCTTGTGAGAATGCGTGCACCTACCTCTACCAGGCCAGAACCATCACCGTCGCATCTTGCGAAGGCTGCTTCATAAGCCTCCCAGGAATAGTGTCCCAGATGTGCCCCAGCGCACTCTCAGTTGTCAAGCAGGCTTCATGTGCTGATCCGTACCGCCTTGTCTTGGTAGGCGATGTATTTCCTGATGAAGTCTCTGAACACCTCGTTGGGTTCTCCAGAACATCATGCAAACCCAACATGCTGCATAGCTGACGAAGGTGCGGTATGCTCTTATGCCTTGCCGTGGGGCTTTTCATGTCTTGAGGGCAGGACGTCAAACTCTATCTGGTTGTACTGTGGGCTGATCTCTTCGAAAATCTCATCGACCTCGGTCGCCCAATGCTGCCACGAGGGAGCACGCACCCCAATCCTATCATCCTCCTGCCGAAACAGCCTGAAGCTTCATGCCCGTGCGAGAACCCGACACAAGGCTGTGTCAGCTCGCCGTTTGCTTGCGTCGTAGTTAGCTGGATATCAGTTCGGTTCACTCGGCCTTTCTACCCAAAGTTCGTGACCCCAGACTAAACACTGCGCTCTGCTCTACGAGAGCTCCCTTTCCCGGGCGGCCCGGCCCAGCTCTGCTTCGGGGCAACGAAGCCCAGGAGCTCCAGAGCCGAAAGGAGAGATGAGCGGTGGACCTGGCGCGGACGTTCAGGGATTCAGCAGGTTGGGGGGGGGGGGGAATTAGGGCCTTGGCCTTGGAGCTGGTTCGGGCAAAGGGCACTAGAAGGTTTGGAGTTGCGGATGTTAGATTTCACTTTTGACGTTCACGATTCGTGCTGAAGGATTTTCGGCTTCAGGCTTCGGTGTGAGTGTAAGGTCTGGATTTCAGGTCTCTTCCACTCCAGAGAGCCTTCTGACTCGGGTGCGGGCACCGATGCCAGAAAAGATTTGAGGGATCTCTGGGTGTGCTGGAGAGAAGCAGGGAACGCAAGATCATATATTTCGGGTTTGCACTTTGGCGCTGTCACGAGCAGCCATGGAACCAATCTCTTTGGTCAGAGCCTTCCCTTTGCCTACAGAGATTGGCACGCAGGGCGGATCAAGGCGCCGCCTGGTTCTCACCCTCCCACTTCACTTTGACGAAGACTTCTTGGGCCGCCTGGATTAACACAAGTCTCGCGTGCGGCGCTGTTACACCGTGCCCGTTCCTGGTCGAGCTTGGACTCGTCCTGCTGCCCGAGTCGAGTCAAACCAGATGACTCAATGGAGCGGTCACAGCGATTCACGCACCAGACCTCGGCTGCCAGCGCCGCCAGTGAAGCTGTCGTTGGGGAGGTCTGCGGGGACTGGAACGTAGGGTTCATGGTGCCTCAGAGCTCAGTTCAGCTTAGCACATCCCAGACGCGAGACATCGGCTCTGCAAGCGCGCTGAGGCGAGCACTTAGCGAATCCCCGCGGTTCACCTTGCCGAAGTATCCGAGTGCGCTACGACAGCGCCCAGGCAACGTCTGAACTCAGCTCAGTACCGGATCGAGGCGGCTCATTCGGATGGACCTGTCCTCGTGACACAAGACTTCTTCAGAATAGGCCTGGAGTCGTGGGCTGCTCCAGGTGTAACTCCTCAAAAGATACTCCTCAAGAGAGACCGGGAACGGCCTCTTCCAAGGAGCTGTCCCTCTGAAGCGCCCTTTTTTAGCTTCGGAACCAACTCTGAAACAAAAAAACTAAACCCCAGACCCTTAACCCTAAACCGTCAGCAACCCGAAGACCCCCAGAGCTCAAAGCCCTCTCCTGGCTCCTTGGGGTGAAATCCGAAGGGCTGGTCTGCCTCGCCAAGCTCAAGAAACAGGTAGTCAAAGCCCTTACAGCCCCTTGCATAGTTATAGACCAAAAAGTACACAATCTGCCCCCCGAAGCCCTACGAGTAATCAAATGCTGAAGGCTCTTATGCTGGGAGGATGTAGGGCTTTTGGGTCAGTGTTGCTTCAGGACATTACTCTACTCAAAAAAAGACGGCAATATCATGGATAGCTCGCTGCACCAGGGAGGGCTCTCTTTGGACCCCGCAAGAATGCGTGAGAACCTCCCCATGTCGTCCGCATACGGAATAATTTCAGGGGACAGCACCAGAAACTGCTGTGTCACAGCTGCACAATGATATCTGCGCAGCAGTATCTGGCGTCTTTCACAAAAGCCATCACATGCTAGCACACAACAACCTTAAGATCTGGTTTCCAGACGCCCCACGTCGCATACATGCATGCCACATATCTTGAGGTCGACTGCAAGTCGCTATGGCCCAAGGGCCTGAGCAGCTTCTAAAAGCAAAGCGTCTCTCTGCAGAAGCCTTACCCACCGCGAAGCGCTGTCGCTGTCGGGGCTGACCTTGACACTGCGGGGCCTCATCCCCTATCTGAACCTTACAGCCCTACGTCTTGAAATTGAACCCCCTACCACGGCCACGGGGAGGAAGACCCCTAAGACCTGAAGCGCTAAGCCCTGAAGCATCCCGAAGACAGAAGCCAAGCTCTGTGCTGTGCAAGTCAGCCGCTCGAAGATGCGGTTGTTCGCTCTTTTGGGGATTACCAAGTTCTGGAGGCCTCACTGGGGCGCATGATACCGCGTTACAAAGGGTCATCATGTCCTGTAGAAACAACCCCCCCCCTTCACCCCCACCAAAGTGTAGTACTCGTGTGAGGTCCCATATCGTAACCCCCGCTATCTGAACTCGCATCCCTCTCGAGGGGGCCCAACTTTCAACGAGCACCCTGAAAACATCGAAAGCCCAAGCCCTCCCCCTCCCTAGGGCGGCACGTCGAGAGGAAGTCAAGGCCCAAGGCCCCAGCAAGATCCTGGACACCATCCTCAAGAGCAGAAGCAACAAGGAACCTATGTCATGCACATCTGAACCGGCTCAGCCATGGTCAGCCGCTTGTGAAATGCGCATATTCACACCTGTACATGTGCACCCCTTGCCAAGAGTGCTCTGCCGGGAGGATCCCGCTGTGTGGATCGTGCTGCCGCCAAACATCTCGTGCACGTGTTAGAAGCACTTGTCGTCGCGAACTCGCTTCGCTCTGCACAGATTTACAAATCGCAGGTCTGAAATCGCGCTGCACAGAGCATTTCTGTGAGCTCCCAGATTCCTGTGTGCTTTCCGGGACCATGCTGCTATGACGGTACACGCTATCGTATAACTAGATTCAAACTTAGATCACTATCACACTCTTACACCTGTTCGTCTGGCTCGTGCTGCCACCACTGTGTCTGTCTTGGGCTCTTGGGGTGCACCTGGACGGCATTTCAGATCCTCTTGCAGTTCTCTTGGTGATGTCCTCTGTGCTCGTGAACTCGTGGACTGACGGCTCCCTTTCTTGGTGGCGTGATCTTGGCATCCCAATTTGTGGCCTGCCGCCTTGCCCTGTCACTAGAGCCTGCACCAGCTAGATTTGACGCAGGCACTCGTGTCATCAACAACCACACGCGAGGACAAGGCTAAGAGTGCAAAGTACATGTGTGAAGCCTCGCATCGAATGGCATGGCACGCAGGTTCGGATCTCAAACACGCTCGATAGGACAAGACTGCTTCATCAAACCACTCAATTGCTCAGCAAGGCATCAATTGAGGCTGTAGCCATCTGCGCTGGCCCGACGGAGCCTGCAAAAGAATTGGAATTAACTCCCTGCCGCTCTCCTTTCGTGGCTTAGGCAACCAAAGGTCCGACTCACGGCTCACTGTATATAGTATATAGTGTATAGTCATTGCAGTAGTCAGTACATAGTCGATAGTATATATAGTATTATAACGTTTATAGTATATATCTGACACTGCGAGCGTTGCCTTCCTCAGCCCGCACCAAGCTGGGTCGACCTCGGACTCGCAGGCAATGCAAAAGCTCTTTGGCTTCCCCTTATCTCCCTTCACTGTTCAGGGTTTAGGGGTCTAGGGTTTAGGGTTTAGGGCTGAAGTCTATGGAAGTCTACAGCTTCTGCATCCTCCCAGAGCTTCAAGATATCTCAAGATCCCAGGCGGGAGCAGTCCCGTCGCTTGGGGTCCTGGCTCTGCCGATCTGCAACCTGGAGCCGCACGCAAGAAACTTCGCATAATAAACAAGGCTGTCCAGGGCCCTCGGGATAGTTCTGGGTGGGCTGACTAGGCCCAATTCTCTTGACCCCGAGACTCTAGCAACAAAGCCTCTGGACGAAGTGACGCGTCCCAGCTACCTCAGCCTTATTACAAGATGCGCCTGGCCACGCGGCGCAAAGTTCTCGGCACTCTGCTGGGATGATAGCACATGCCTTGCGCCAAAGACACCGCAACGTGGAGCCATGAACACGTATGAGTGCACTGGAGGCACGCAACATGGGGAAATTGAATCAGCAGGAAGTCCCTGAAGGAGTCCACAGGCAATCAGGCACCTGCCCTCTCTGTTAAGTTTCTGAGGTCCAGTCGTCACCGGGGTAGTGCCGGAGCCAGCGCTCAGGTCACGATTCTCAGTGGCAGGCGGTTGAAGAAGGGATGTGCGGCTCTCAAAGCATTGTTTGTCACAGGGCACTCTCCACGACCCTAGAGAGCAAAGATTTGAGCTCCTGGCTGGGCCTTCTTCGTCAATGAAACCTTATTCACCAGCACATGCCAAATCGGGTCCGAATGCTTAGAGCTTTCAGATAGGGAGCCCGTAATTCGAAAGCGGGCCAAGGACAGCCCTGGGGCAAGGGGCCTATCATGGAGCCGCCCTTGCTCGCGACGGGACGAAACTTGACATGTTCTGTTTCCCTTTCCGCACAAGACTGGGACTGGGCGCAGGGCTTTCGGAGTTCATTCTGAGAGCTACCGGGCGCTTGGCGTCCGATTGCTCCTGCCGAAGCAGCACCATTCAGAGTCGAGCTAGAGCATTGAGTGCAGCGTCTCCGTGGGACACCATCGGAAACGCATGAAGATGCTCAAGTGTTTGACAAGTCCGCCTTCGCCCGAGTCTCAGATGTCTGCGTCGAGTCGAGCTTCTCCTCGCTAGAGTTTCCGGGACCACCCCGGAGCTGGGTTCTGCTAGGTTCTGCTAGGTTCTGCTATGTTCTGCTGCATTCGTTGCGGCTGGCCAAAGCCGGACTTGCAAGCGGGATCTCTGCTGCATCGGCATGTGACCTGAATTCTGGGCGCCACACCGCCTTGCTCGTCTGATGCCTGACCCGCTGAAGCTATGTCATTGTGCAATACTCAGAGGCTACATTTCTGCACAGCATGGCCCAACTACAAACAGCAAGTTGGGAAGGCAGAGACGGACAGGGAGAGACGGACAGAGGGAGGTAGTAGGTTCAAAACACTGAGGACAGTGCAATGGGCTTCTTCGCATGCTGCGGCTGCTCACCTGCCGTACATCGATGCGAGGGAGATGGAAATTTGGGAATCATGCACATCGCTGTACATCCGTGATGGAATCTCTTACTGACATTCATACGCAGCTTTGTTTGCATACAGTTATCTGAGTTGCACACCGAATGGAAAGACGAGGTCGACCGCATCATCTTATCCGCCTGACAATGTTTTCTCCAAGAAGCAGAACTTCTCCGTTGCTTTCGAGTGTGCATGTAGTAGTGGACAGGGCGGGATATCATGTAGGTCCATGATGGTCCACGAGGCCTGCATGAGATGTGTACGCCCGCATTGGGGTTGGCCATGCTTCGCAAGACTTGTCGGGGGTCTCACAGGGGTCGCGGGTAACTCTCGATGTGGCATCTACTGTACTACAGGCTGCATACAGCTTCACTTCATGATACTTCTTGAACTCCGTAGAAAATGCGCTGCTGACTTCATGAAAAACTATTGGCTCTCGAATGTTGCCAGTCGAAACTATGCTTGTGAAATGGAGTTGCCATGCAGTTGGCGCCGGTGCAAGCTGCACGAGTGCCTGATGCTTCTGTCTGGAGCACGGCCGCAAACATCTTGAAGGTCTTCGGAATCATGACTATTAGTAAGTTACTAGTATTAATCTTTAGTCGTTTGGACAGGGCCGAACGAGAATGCAGTCACTCCGTCGATGCCGGCCTCCAGACTCAGAAGCATCCAGGTGGACGGCAAGCTCAAAGGTGGAAATTTGCTGCAGCCGGGTTCTGTTCGTGGCCTCGGGTTTTCAGTCGGCATTGTACACTGGAAAGCAGCTTTTCAAACTCTTTGCTGAAGTGCTTGACCGCTAACTTTGCGCTTCATGCGAATTGCAGATCGTGATAAGAGACCGATCGGCTATGCATGTCAGCTATACCGCCGTATGTATGTCAATGCCCAGACCCCCAGTCCCCTACCTGTTTCTGTGTTCCCAGAATACCTAGCCGCTTCAGCTTATAGAGGGGCAAATGGCTTAAGCTTAATTAAGCATCAAGCAGCCTGCAGTTTACATATCCCCACAAATACTACGCAATATATGTGTCTGTATAACCTGTATAACTGTGCAACTGAAAACTCCTACAGTATACCGTACCTTTGGTGGAGTTCTACATAACCAGGCTCACTGAAGTCATTCGGCCCCGACTCAGTTCAATCAAGGCAAATCTAAAGATTGAAGATCCCTGAGAAATGAGTGTCCCCCGGGATCATCAATCTTCAATCCTGTCCCCGATCGAAAATCAATCGGCTCCGATTGGGTTCAATCGCGCTTCTATTGGCTTCCTGTAAAAACGTGTTTGTCTATTGAGTAGTTTATCAAAAGGATTTCCGTCGAAATTACATAATCAAAAGTTCGTTTCACTACCAGCGAATTGCATAGGTGGGCCCTTATGCGCCTTGTGTATCCATGAATAAGCACGAACAAACGCCTTCAGCAAAAACGGGCCCAATGCTTGGAGTTTGGGGATTCAAGCCGGGTTCAAGGTTGGTAGAGCTTCGAAAATGGAGCTAGGGCTAGGGGTTCGTCCAGGTTCTCGACAGTCGCAAACCCCGCTTTGCATCCGACGAGTGGGGTAGCCAGTATCTGTAGGTACATACATGTGTGCACATGCATGCATGCATCTGTGTCTCCATCTACTCAGGCAGATAGGTGTGTTCTCGCCGTCTATGCGCTTAGCAAAATTAGCTTCTCTTCGAACGTCCACGTCTCGTGCAGAGCCTACAAAAAGCCTGAGGAAACCGCCAGAGACCATCATACCTCAAGGGGCTGATGTTGCTGCGTTGGCACAATCGCTGGGTACACCCTCAGCCTATGAGAAACTACTCCTCGCGCACTTTATGGGTCTGGGACTTCGAAGGGCATGGCAAGGAATGCGTCCGAACTGCTTTCAAAACCACCCTGGGGAGATCTGAGCTTCCGGGCTGAATCGCTTGCATGCCAAAGCCTCAGAGCAGAGTTAACCACAGATGTGCCGAAAGCTCGCCACGCTTGCAAACTGACTGCTCATGGGATAGGATGGCCTGCATCTTCGTCGGAGACACTTGGGCCCAACATCTCATCGGCCTGGGGATGTGACCGGCCAGGCGCGATGCAAACTGGCCCACTGCAATGCTTGAATGGTGTGCTTCAACATGTCTCAACGTATTCAACGTGCAACACTTCACGATCACATGACTTCTCAGGACATCCAGCGGCACACTGCGAAGCGGCGCCCTGTGCCTCCATAATTTCAGGATGCAGGGGAGGCGCCTCGGCTTGCTGCGGTCCCTAAAGTTAGAGAAGTGGAGGATGCTACACCGAGGCGGTGGCCCGTGGAAGTGGCGGCAAAGGAAAGCGCCTCCTGCAGTTCTCATATGTTCGACAGACGAAACTCTTAGCAGACTGCCATGGACAGTGTGCAAACACTACCGGGTTCTTCGTCGTGCGTTCGGTGCGAGATGTGGTCATCGTGACCGCGAAGCACGCGTACTCGGCCGGGTGCATGAATATTTCTACATGTTGTCGGATAGAAATACTGACAGAAATCGCGCTCCCGCCAGCCCCATGCCCATTTCGACCCGAATCGCCCCAAGTCCCCCAGGCACCACTTTTCGCCTGGCCTGTTCGAGGCTCCTTGTCTCGACATCCAGCCTCTTGTCATTAAGGATACTAGTCACGACGACAATAGCAGGGTTTTGGAATGTTTCATCTTGTTTCCGCCATAATGCCATGTGGATATTGACTTTGCGCATCGTCTCCCTGTCGGTCCCGCTGAGTTCCCTAAATCGTGCTGCAACCACACGCCGCTGTGCATTGCGCGCGCGACTCATATCCAAAGATCGTGCTCCCGCTGCAGCAGTCACACGAACATCTTTAGAATTAGAACAGTTTTCTGAGTGCAGTTGTTACTCCTTTTGGTATTTCGCACTGTTCTCTCATGCCCCAGCCAAGTTATCGAGGATCTGCAGCCTCCTTCTTCCACGCATAGACCATCACAGCCATCTATCATCTACCGCACCGAAGCTGGATCCGAAACGCTTTTCCTTTGAGACTCCATGACCTATTCGACCCACGCTTCTCCAACACATCTCCGGTGCCACTCTTGGCGTTGCACCTTTCTTTCTTTGCGCGACGGCGCGGGCGCAGGCCTCCCTGCATGGCCTCTGCGATGAAGGCCTTGCATCGGCTAGAGTCGAATAGAGAGTCTTCCAGAGCTATCAAGTGCTTCAAGAACCGCAGCAGCTGCAGGCCTTGCAGACATTGTCCAAGCGAGTCAGGGGAGATCTGCAAATCAACGCGCGAGACAAAGATTTGGAAGGCTCGGTCAGTCAAGCCGAGCAGTGTCGGAGGACGCTACAAAGCGAGTTCCAGAACACTACAAAGCGTCTGCTCTTTGAGTCCTTCTCTTGTCGCGAGGTCGGTGCGGACTTGCCTGCTGACATCTGGAGCTTGAAGCAATGTCGGCATTGCAGAAGGTCACCTCATCGGAGAGCAGTGCATGAGTTCCTGCGCCGCACTGCTCAAGCAGAAATCCTACAGCTACGGTAGCTCTCTTCGACCGCAGCACCGTGCAAAGCGCAAGAGAAGCACCAAGGACTCAATCAAGGGTCCCTGAAGGGATCACTGCTAAACCAAACTACACGGCAGCTGCCCCTCGAATGCACCGGCAGGAGGCCCCAAGAGGCTGGGGCTGCGGCCCGTGAGGTCTGCCTCACAAGGGTCTAGCGGAGCTTCGACAGGGAGAATTGTGGCGAAGCGTAGAAGCCGCTTTCACGACCTATTGCCCTGGTCACCCCTTGCTACGCCCCGCCTAAATCTTCATTATCGACGCGATGGCCATCGCAGCTGGGCCTCTCTCCACATGGCGACGGCAATCCTACCTGTGGTTCATCAAACCTCGATTGACGGTAGGGACAAGCTCCAACGCATCAAGTGCAGGGCGCTAATACTTGCTTCAGATTTTCAGGCTTGCTGGTCATGTGGACTTCAGATTTGTCTCTGGTGTATTGAGTCATGAGTAAATGCGGCGCTCGCATGGAAAAGGGCGAGGTGTGTCGCCAGATCGCAACATCAAGATAAATCAAAACACACTGCGACATAGAGCGACCCTCCGTGGAGAACGGCGGATGTCAGCACTTGTGCTTGCCTGTTCGCGAGACTTCTGCATGTAAGCCGGTCTTCTCAGTTTTGGGAGCACAAAAACTACAAGGGCACATTCTCTTTGTAAGAAAACCTTTTCAGGACATCACAGGTAGTCGAACCGATTTCAGCTGGGCACCTGGAGCAGAAATGAGGACGCCTTTTTCCCGCTTGCGCCTGCCTGCGCCGCTTCCCCTGCTTGTCAGCAATTCGGCCGCACATCGCCAGGCCACCCGCCAGCTTGTCCAGCTCTTCTCCACGGCCAAGTTTGCTGCTCTTCGGCGTCGGCCGCCCAGGGGTCAAGGAAGTGCGCTTCCGCCGTCCGAGGGGGTGCTTGAAGGACTTAGCTCCACGACGTCACCACTGGCGAAGCGAGCACTGGGTCAGCGCTTGGAGAGGATGCTGTCCACCTTGTCCTGACGGCTTCAGACGGCTTCCCGAAGCTTCAGAGCACCCGCGCAGTCCTTGGCCGCGACCACGTAGCCGAAAAACTCAGGCCCGTAACCACCAGCCTGAATCTCCGATCGCAATCGCATCAAAACGAGCTGCATTCCACCGTGAATTGGCTGGCGCTTTCTGAAACCACATTCCGAATCCCTTGCTGCTTCATGGTCTAGGACCCCAGGAGTCAGCGGGGCATGGGGAAAGGTTCCGGTCGTGCCATCCCACTAGCTGAGGCCTGAGAGCAAGCGTCCCAACACCACGAACGACAACGCCCATCAGCCCTTGGGCGAGAAGACAAGCAACAAACCTGGACAAAGCCGAATCCCAAAACTCTGCTCGTCTCCAGCCTCGGGCAGCACGGCCCGAAACTGCGCAAGCTGCTCCGGGGTCACTGCGTTCAGGGCAACGGCCCTGGCTTTGCAGGAATGGAGTCTCACATGCTGGCACGCCTAGAACTGCCCTAGCTGCTTACGGGCAGAGTGGAGCAAAAGCGGATCTCAAGCGAAAGAACAACTCATCGAGCATAACTTGCTTCTTATTTCCATCTAATCAAAGGAATTGGAAACATCGCGGAAGGATGCGTCCGTACAATGCTGCCGGCCACGCCCTGCAATGACACAGAGGATCAGCACCTTTCTGCAGGTCACGGGCACAGGCGGTGTCCGAACCACAAGAATTAAGAGGCAACTGCAGCAAGCGCAGCCAAAGCCACAGTAATGGGACACTGAACAGAGGAACATGGTGGCCTGAACGGGGTGGAGGGCACGCTTCTTGCTCCCACCTCGGCTTGGCTTTCTTTGCTAGACAACCCGGGCCTCCTGCCCCAGCCTCGGACTTAGGGCTCCAGCTCTCCGTGCACCAGTGGGCCTGCCGGCCCGCTGCCGTGATGCGGAAGACGGAGCCAAAGAAGAAGGTCACTGCCTGCAGAAAACTCCTCGCAAGCTGGCTGAACTGCCGTGAAGAGCTCACAGCTGAGGCGACTGCAGTTGAGGAAAGGGCGATGACCTCAGTGCGAGGTGGCAAAAAGCTTCCCCCTCTGTACCCTGGTAGCATTCTAGACGAAGACAAAACCTGAACCACGCGCAGTCTTTGTTTGCATCTTGGAGGTGCTCCCGACTCATCGCAACACTGGGCTTTGGACATTGAACGGCATGCTGAAATCCGGCCTCATTGCAAGCAGCACACGAGCGACGTGTCTGCCTGCAAAGATCCTGCATTTCAAGCCTCTCGTGAACCCGGATGCACACGCACACCAGCACACGCACACAACACAGGCAGCATCTCTGTCTCTACTGGATCAGATAGACCTGAGAAATCCTAAGAACCTTTAGAAAGGCAGGGGCATCGGAACCATCACCAGCATACCCTCGGTGAAATGCAGCCTGGGTGTGCAGCGGCATCTCGCAGCAGACAGACGTCGGAAGTTTGCGCAAGGTCGCCTCCAATTCCTCCCGGGTTGAGCCTCTTGCCCTAGGGACCTTGGCTTGTCGTGGCGGTTGTGGGCGTGGAGGCGCCGCTGCGCAGCCAAGCTCAATGCCTGACTGCAGGAAACAGCTTAGGCAAGAGCGGACCCAAGGGTGCGATGATGTTCGGGCCGACAGCTCCTGCACGAGAGTGAACGAATCATTGAAGCATTTGGCCGAAGGACTCGGCACTCCGTTTACATGCGGACCCGAAGCCTGAACCAGCGACGTCAAGGTCCGCATCCAGCCACACAGCGCCAGCAACATCAAAGCCCTCAGCAGAGAGGGTTCCGATTGCCGCTACGACACCATGATGACTGTTTCTTGAAGTACTTCTACTTGCCGGCTTTGCAGTGTTACTTTCTGATCTTGCATACTCTCGTGCTGGTGCAATCTAGCAGCAGAGGGGGCAGGAAGGAGTCGTCGTCGTTCTAGCAATAGTAGAACTAGTCGCAGTCGCGTCGTAGCCGCTGTGGAGGTCGTGGTCCTCCTCCTCGTCTTCGTCTTCGCAGCTGGTTGCTAGTAGTGCTAGCACTTGTGCTAGCACTATCACTGGCACTAAGACTACCGCTAGCTCTGGACTGGCACCAGTACTAGTGCGGGTGCTGGTCCCAGGGCCTGCACTTGTACTAGTACTAGTGCTTGTGCTAGTGATAGCAGCGGCATCAACAGTAGCAGTAGCAGTAGTGCTTGTAGTAGTGGTGGTAGTAGTCGTAGTAGTAGTCGTCGTCGTCCACGTCGCCCTTGTCATCGTCGTATTAGAAGCAGCAGCAGCAGCAGCAGCAGGAGGAGGAGCAGCAGCTGTCGGAGTGCATGGCATAGTTGAAATAAAGACATAAGTGCCATAGGTCCCGGATTGTCACAAAAGCCTAACACCCTAGAAGGAGTGAGTGGTTGCGAAAAGCAAGTTACTCACCAAAACAGAGCACCGCGAAACCCTAAAAGGAGAAAGTGCTCCCGAAAAAACCTCAAACACTAAACGGAGTCTGAGCCTGCGAAGAATCCTAACCCTGAGACTGGTGACTGATTGCCACGAGACAAAAACCCAAAAAAGAGTTATTGCTTCCCAAGAACCCAAACCCACGTGGTGGAAGAAAGGGAGGGCAGGCCCGTGACTCGCTGGCAAGACGAGGCAGTCGTGACAAAAGTTAACTGAAACCCTAAAACAAAGGCGCGGCTACAAGTACAAAATACTCAAACCCTGCAAGGTGCGACGTTGTCGGAGACCCCAAACCCTGAAAGGTGTGAATGGTTGCGATGCACAACCAACACCCCGGAGCCTGCAAGTTCAAAAGCTACTGCTGCTGCTGCTTCTTCTACTACTACTACTACTACTACTACTGCTAGGACGACGACGACGACGACGATGGCTGCTACGATTGCCACTACCACGACGCCGAGTACGACTAACTACGACTGCCACTGCCGATACCACTACCGATCCCGCTGCCGTGCCACCTGCTAGCACTACCACTGCCACTCACAACACCACCAGGACCACCAGCAAGACTGGTACTGCTCCTCCTACTAGTACTGCCGCTGGTGCTGCTACTGCTGCTGCCTTGAGTTCGGTCCAAACCTTGTATGAACACACTCAGCCTTCTCGCAAGCGTAGGAAAACTCCCGGAAGGGGATGAAGTTCTTCCTCAGCTCGCCACCGAGCCAGCGAAGGAGCACAAAACAACAAGGTAGTGTTCCTACTGGCTCCTCCTTGCCTGAAACAGCGGCCGCAAATCTCGCTCATTCTGGTATTGCGCCGGGGGCCGAATAGAGTATACATGGTACACGTGTGCATTCGTTGCTGATTCATCCCCAACGCACCGACACTTCCTGGGATCAGCGGCAGGACATCCAGGAAAACGCTCACAGAGCTTCCAGGTGTAAGGTCCTTGGATCGATTTTGGAGACTCCTTGGATCCTAGTGATCCGGTGACTCCGAGAGTCTTAGCCACAGGCAACGGTAAGGGAAAGGTCGGTCGGTGACCGCAAACCGTCCGAGGCTGTGAACCTGGCCAGCATCAAGAGCACAGGTGGCACTCAGAGCTGGGCAGGATTGGGCAGGCAAGTGCAGATTTCGTCAGCCAGGTCACGTCAAAGCGAGGTGTCTCAAGGCATCTGCTCCAACAAGCTCCAAAACCTGCAGTTGTAAATGCCATTCTGTCAGTTGCAGCACGTTGCACGTGTCACCTGACCTCGTCGGAGTTGTCGCTACGCCACACCGCACGGATCGTGTGCCATAGAGGCCTGTGCACATGTCATACACAACGGCCACTGCATGAAAGGGACTCTGGTGAAGGGCCCCTCCTGATGAAGAACGGGAGCTGGTCCTTGGTGGGTACAACGAAATCCAGGTTCAACTGGCAAGCTGGGTATGGATGTATGTACTAGCTTCTTGGAGACTTTGGCTCAGTCGTGTGCCAG